CCAGGTCCCTCCCCAGCTCCAGTTGTTCCCTCCCAGCCTCAGGGTCCCACCCTGCGCCTTGCGCTCATGGTCCCTGCCTGTTTCCTCTCCTGGTGTTTGTCACCCCGCTCTCCTCCATGCATTCACCTGTGCCCTGGCGGTGCGGGCGGAGTGCCTGTGCTCACTGCACATTTCATCCCATGTACGTTTTTTCTGCCTTCTGCTCTGATAGCCGAAGTGCTGGAGGCTCGTGGGGAGGGTGTAACAGAGTCGCTGTCAGCTGCGCCAGGGCCGACTTTAGAGAAGAGGCATTGGAGCTCTTTGGCACTGCGCTGCCTGAAAGGCGCGTTACGTGCAAGGCCAGAGGTTGCATAGTAGGCCCCTACCGGGCAGGTAAAGACATGACAGCATGGAGCAGCTGAGCTCAGTTTGGTGGCAGGCCTGGTAAGCAGCAGGTTGGGGTGCTTGCTCTTTTGCTCCTGCTCTGAAAACAGACCAGGTGCTTGCAAAGTACAGACTGGTGGTTATCGAGGTGTCTGCGTTTGCAAAGGCGGGTCCAGCTCATGAGAGGGGCAGGGAACCGGGCGGGTTTGTAGGGGCTCAGGCACTGCGGTCATGATTTGCTGGGGAGGAGCGAACGGTGGAGGATTGTCTCAGCACTCTCAGTTACAGAGCTTCCCCCATTTCATCCAGGCTGCTCTCCGAATTACAGAGCGCTAGGGAGCAGATGCTGACTGAATGTGGCCAGAACCCTGGGCCTTGTGCTGCAGTGACAGCAGACCACTCACTACTGGCCTACCGCAGAGGGCGGAATAAGGCAGCCTCCCCAGAACCTTGTGAGATGGATGAAAGAGTTGCTCTATGAGAGCTTCATGGAGCTGGGCAGGGAGGATTCCCGCCCTCCCTCCAGACATGTCGACAAACTTCTCCAGGGAGCCATCGCTATGCGGGCAGAGTGGCTGCCACTTTACCCTCAAGACAGATCACACAGAGAACCCGATGACACTACTTGCAGCATGATTCAAGCTGGCAGAACGGGCTAGGTGGTGTCATCTCATTGTTATAAAATTGACCTAGCCCAGCTCACCTCCTAGTGTAGGCCAGGCCTAAAATACAGGTTACATTTATTCAGTTGTTTTGATTAGGGAAACGCCCTGGCCGAGGAATTTGGATCGAGAAGGGACAGGAATTTGCAAACTATAATAAATACATTTTTACAAAGCAAAATCTGAAGTAGCTAAAGAAGAAACTGTTGCTCACTAATGCTTCCGTCCTTGCAAAGAATGTGTTTGAAATGCTGTGATCCAGCTCCATTTAAACAAGACTTGGTGTGTTCCAACAATTCAGAAAACTGGTGTGAGCAGTAATCAGAGAAGCTTTGGATCAGAGTTTCTCAATCCAGGTGAACGCTGTTTCAAAGAGCCATCTTTTCTAGGACGTGGCGCTGTTAGAATATTGTGGCTGGAGCTGGCGTTTTTCTGGTTGCGATTGTGACAGGATCGAGACTGTAAAAACCGATCTGAGATTCTTGCTTTCACATCTGTAGAAACCGGCTTAATTTACAGTTCTCCTTGTTCCATAGCTACGCTATTGCTGACAACTCCTATCGTTCCCTGCGCATGGAGAGGAAGGACCAGTGCATCCTGATATCTGGGGAGAGTGGGGCTGGAAAAACTGAAGCCACCAAAAAAATCCTGCAGTATTATGCAGTGACATGTCCAGCCAGCGACCAAGTTGAAACAGTGAAAGATCGCCTCCTGCAGTCCAACCCAGTCTTAGAGGTAATGTGGAGGGCGGGATGTGAGACATGCCATTGTGTGGGCCTCTGTCCCCTGAAGCAGTCAGGTTTGTGTTTGCTGCTGCGCTTTTCTGCTCTTGCAGTGGCTTTTCTGCTCTTGCAGTGGCTTTTCTGCTCTTGCAGTGGCCTTTCGTTCAGCCCAGCGCTGAACGATCCTTCCAGTTCCCTTTCCTGCTTTTCCCCTCCATCCAAACCGCTGTCATGGGCGTGGGCCTGGGGGGGCTGGCAGGCTGGGGCAGGGCGGTGACCATTGTGTCCGGAATCACGCTGGTGGTGGAGGAAGAAGCCTTAACGGGACCGTATACTAGCAAGGAATGGTATTAGGCTAAGTCGTGGCTAGGCGAGAGAGGAGCACTTTAACAGGCCCGGGCAGGTGATGGATGGTATTCAGCTCAAGCAATCTGAACTCAGGGAGCGGCTTGTTTTCGTCTTAGGCTGGTTCCGGCTTCCCTGCTGTGAGCGCTCTCGTGTAGCCACTGCATGCCGAAGGGGGAGAGCTGGCCTGTTGACATAATTAAACCAGTCCCAAAGAGCGGCGGGAGCATGTCTCTCAGCGTGAGACAAATCTGTGTCTTTGGGCCAGTAAGGAAACCACCAGCAGCTTTGTGAAAAATATTTTAAAATTCCTGTTTTTGAAACTTGCTTACTTTTCCTCTTTCTTTTTTTTTTTTTTCCTTAAATTCAGGCATTTGGAAATGCCAAAACCCTTCGGAATGATAACTCCAGCCGATTTGGGAAATACATGGATGTGCAGTTTGATTACAAGGTGAAAATCTGCTTTACATACATAGGAATTAGTACTCATTGTAGTCTTGCTTGGATGCCCAAGCACACAGATGCTGAGATCTGCATCAGCAGTTCACATAGAGTGAAAGGCCTAACGCCTCTGGTGAAAAGGAGTCTATTGCTTCAGAAAAGTTTGGGTAACGAGATCTTTCTAGAGTTGTTAGGATTTATAATTGTACTATAACTACACACACTTCATTGTGAAGCAGTGAGAATTGCAACATGCACAGCATGCCTGACACAAACACAACAGTTAAGGAAGTGAAAAGTTTAGCCAAACAGTACCGAGACTCTATCCTTCCACCCACAAGCACTCATTCTGGTACTGCAACTGGTGTGCACCGCAGCCATAACTCTGCCCTCTTTTTCTCCAGCTTCTTCAGACACCTTTACCAGCTAACTTTTTCCCAGCCCTAGTAACTGTGTATGCATAGTACAGTGATTGGTTGTGCTGAGAGCAGGGTAGTTTGCTAACAGGCTGTATGCACAATGGCTGTTAAAGGAGGTGATGGAAGGGTTAAGGTTGCAGTGGGCAGGTAAGTGCTTGTGGGCGGAGTAGTAGAGAATATTTACTATTAGGAGGTTGAAATTTTCCTGCACTTGCCTTTGTGGGCTTGTTTCTGGTATATGGTGTGTGCAGCAACCCTCGTAGCTTCCAGCAAATTGTTGTGTGTATATTAATGCCACGGAGTTTGTCTAATTGGAGGTGAGTATTATTGGAGGAGAGGGAGGAAAACCTGCGGAGGCAGAAATGTGTTTGCAGTGTTGTAGTTGTGTACAGACACACAGCAGAAGTGTGGCAGGAGAATACATTATCTGCCAGCAACTGTGAATGAGCTGCTCTCTCTGCTGGGGTAAACACCGAAAGAAAAATGTAGTTTGTCGTGTGAAAGATTTTGTGTGTCTAGCCCCCATCATCTGATTATCCTTGTGGGCACAAATCCCAAACTTTGTCAGAATGCAAATGAGAGCTAAAAATGACCCTCGATGTAACAGAAACCTTCCCATTATACTGGCCTTGGATAACCTGCAGCCTGTGGACCCTGCATGTGGACCCAACATTTACTGGCGGGCTACAAGGTGGTTTGTTTACATTAAGTGTCTGTAGGCAGAGCCCCCTGCAGATCCTTCTGGGCCCTTTATTACGCCCTTTCTCTTTAGTGTCCCTCTGTACCACGCTACCAATAGCTCGTCTGTGGTTTTGTAAGACATATCTGTCGACAGTGAAAAGTAGGACAGCCAAGGAAAGATCATCCAGTGACAAATCTTCTATTAGCTGGTTACCTGCTTTTAGAGAAAAATATCAAACTCTGCTCCATTTTAGTTAGAACACAGCACTAACTGAATCATCTCCGTGTGTGTGTGTGTGTGTGTGTGTGTGTGTGAGAGAGAGAGAGAGAGAGAGAGAGAAACATGGAGGATGCAGGGGTCCTGTGGGGGGAGGGAGAACATGTGATCCTGAAATGAAAGACTCTGAATATGCGCAAAAGGACAGAATCAAGATTGCGGAGGCAACCTTATCTTGTCGTGTTTTGTTTGTTTCCTCTCTAAACTAAATGCCACAATGCCATGAAAATTAACAAAGTGTAAAAACCTAGGTAGATCGAAATCATCCCAAGCTTTTAAATCTCTCTCGAGGGGAGGGAGAACATGTGATCCTGAAATGAAAGACTCTGAATATGCGCAAAAGGACAGAATCAAGATTGCGGAGGCAACCTTATCTTGTCGTGTTTTGTTTGTTTCCTCTCTAAACTAAATGCCACAATGCCATGAAAATTAACAAAGTGTAAAAACCTAGGTAGATCGAAATCATCCCAAGCTTTTAAATCTCTCTCGACATG